CATGTTTTACAATACAGATGTGAATGGTGATTGTATTCGTCACAGACCTTACATCCATGCTTCCAACCTCTAAAGATATGCCACTTTTCGATATAATTTTGTCTTTTTTTATTTGTATATGTATTGTTATGATTTTTCATCATTGTATATATTAACAGAAAAATATAATGTAGCTAAAACTTTTTTATTATACAAACCTGTAATATATGGCAATTATGTCCTTGCCTACATGCATAAGCCAGAATTATTATTTATAGAAATTTTTTTGTATACCGATACAAACATATAACAAATTTTATTTTTTTTATATAGAACGCTAAAAATTTCAAACCCTTTACATGGAATGCATCAAATTTAATATATAGCGACTCGAAGAGTCATTGCTTCACAATAGATATATGAGATATACATTCATTTTGATATTTCTTTGAGAGCTTAACGCTTAAAGCTCTTTGTTCAGCCAACTCTGGAGATATTCCATTTGATACAAAATTTTTATATGCTTGTATACGCCAATGACCATATGGCAAACTAGTTATTTTATCAGATAATATCCAACGCTTAGTATCTATAGGGCAAAGAGCTTTCTTTTCTGATTCGACCAAAGATAATATATGGTCTTTTGATCGGATACCTATATTTTTAGCATGGAATACTTCATTACCAAAAAGACAGTCTCGATATACTAGGGTCATAGGATCTGCCTCAGTTCGCATAGCTTCTTGCTCTGATAATAATGATCTATCTATCGGATCATCTAGCAAGGACCCTTCTAAAGCTGGCATATAAGAGTTCATAGCCATTTCACTCATACCCTTTTTGCTAACTCCTTTATGTTTAGATGTTGTAGACTTATTTGCCAAAATATAGTGATAAGCTTTGCCTCGAATATGATAAGATTCTGTAATTACACTGTCTGGAGTTTCATCCTTAAATTTACCAATAGTTGTATCACCATTAAGGTTAAAGAGATCAGGTCGTTCTTCTATGTCTTTATAGATATCCTCAGTCTTAACTTGAAATATAAAAGAGTCTGTATCCATATATCCAAGCTGGGCTTTATCACCATATTTCTCTTTTACATACCCATACCAAAAGTAATATATGTGAAGTTTGCTAAGACCTAAGACTGATGCTTCAACAATAATAGGCTTATTAAGAGTTATACTAGCTTTTCCCATATGTGCTCCTATAAGTGAAGGACTAAGTTGTCTAGCATACTTAAATGAGGGTTTACGAATCTGGTTAATAAATTTTTTTTTATCTTGCTTATTATTTATAGCCATGAGCTTGACATCTTAATACTTACGAACATTTTCCATAGTTTTACCATATACAGCATTATTTTTGAGTTTGAAAAAGTCACTTAAAAATGTATTTCCAGCTTTTTTGGCCTCATTATATTTTTTTGTATTAAAAGCTATATAGGAGGCAAGCCAATTATCCTGATCGAATGATAAGATCTCTGTAACTTTATCTACTATTATACCTAATTTTATATAGTATTGAAGCTCTTGGTAGTGAATAACATAATCTTCTTGTGAACCAAGATGGGGTACTAATTTTTCTGTAGCAGAGAAACATCCACTATCCAAGTTATCTACAAGCTCTGTAGTATGGGGACACAACATATTTTTATTTACAGCCATGTTTTCTACAGCTGGAGGTAAATCACTCAAATAGTCATGAGTTTTTAAAAGGAAGTACGCCTTAATATTTAGAAAATATCCTCTTTTTGTATCTGCTTTAGTATTAAAAATCTTTTCAAAATATTTCTTTTGCTCATTTGAATTATCCTCAAGATATTTATGACTTACCTCCCATTTATAATTTCCAATAGGCAAATACTGACTCATAGCCTAGCCATAAAGATTTGTTGCATCTACATATGAAATCCATGTTGTTAGTTTAGATAGGTTAAATACTTTACCCATCTTAGAATTGTTAGCTTTGAAATATCATTTACATGCCATAGCTATACCTCTACGCTTAGCCTTTTCTATAAAATCATGCATAGCTATATCTGTAAAGAGCTCGATTTTAACTCCTATCATCTTAAGCATAGCATCCCAAGAATATGCTGGAAGTGAAACATAATGGCTAGGATCGAGTCCATCATATTCCATAGACATTTTTTGCAACTGTGTCCAGACATCAGCAAGACTAAGCACATCGGTTTTAAGATATATATCATGATATTCACCTAAAGTCTTGCAGTTAAATTCCTTCTATACTTTTTGGGCATGCTCATAATCTTTTTGGCTAATTTTACTATAAAGATATGTACTAAATTCATAAATTAGTAGAAGCTCAGTCTCTAAAAACCTATCCTGTGAATCTATATAATCATAGAAATAAACTCCTTTTCGATATACTAAATCTAATTGATCTTTTGTATAGCCTAGTTTTTTGAAGTACTTAGATATTATTAGATGATTA